CATCAGCTGCTGCCCTGTGGGGGTACAATCCCTGTTGCTCCCCATTGCCCCATGCTGCACGGGGGGCTCGGCCATGAGCCACCCAACCCTCGCCTGCTTACCCGGCCCCGCCATGGCTGCACCACCCAACCCAGCTCCCAGCCCTTTTTAAAGCCCCAATTCACCGGCTCCTGCCCAGCAGGGGGCAATTCCCACTGCCCCCAACTTCCCCATGCTGCATGGGGGCTCTGCCATGAGCCCCCAGAAGCCCCTATGGCTGCTGCAGCAGCTGGTGAATGGGGGCTTTTTTTTTCTTTTTAAAGAACCGGGATCAGGGCGGGGGGGAGTTGGGAGAGCAGCTAGAGGCCGGGGGGCACTCAGGGTTGCTGTAGGAGCAGACAGGGGATGGGGCATGGCAGGGGTCCCCCCACGGTCCCCTCCTCCAGCCTTCTCTCCCCCACCCCGTACTTACCAGCTCAGAGTCTGGGTCCAGCTCATTGTGGCAGTGAGCAGGGACTGCCCAAATCACTGAAGCTCTCCGAATCTTTTCTGAATCGACTTGGAGAGCTTCAAATTGATTTGGATCTTTTAAGTGGTCTTCTGATTCGATTTGGAGATTTGGCCACTGAACTGGGCCAAATCTCCTCCAAATCAAATCAGCACCCAAAGCTTTGCACAGCTCTACTAGCTTCCCTGGCTTGGAATTCAGCTGCCAGAACCAAGGGTCTGCATTATTGTTTGGTCTGAATTGACATCAGCACCTACCTTCAGCTATGGGAGGCCCTAACACCGTTCCATTACATACATCACATTTCTACACATAATGTGTTAAGGGGCTGCTGACTGCAGTGCTGTAGCCTTTGTTATGGCTGTTGGTGCCAAATAGTTATACAGCGGCCACCAATGTTTGCAAATATCAGATGGTAAAATAGTGCTTGTGCTGGCTTATGTAAGGACTGAACCTGACCTTCAATTACCAGCTACTAAAAGGATGTTTCTGCCAGGATTTCTGCTAAACCCACTGGGAGGAGAAAATGCAGCCCTCCTGGTGTGCAGCCATGGATTCCTTATATTGGGCTTATTCAATTACAGAACAATGCTCCTTCCTGTAGGGAGGCAGGCATACGTACAGGGAAGAAAGAGAAACCTGCAGACATCCAGTGTGTCAGAGACAGTAAGATCAGAAGGGATTACAGTGATCACCAAGTCTGCCCTGCTGTAAAGCATAGGCCAGAGGACTCCCCTGAATTAATGTCTGTTTGAACCAGAGCATCTCTTTTAAAGAAACTTGGCGTTTATTATGCCTGTGACTTGCAAAAGAACCGCTAAGAAGGGGGCTTTAGATCAGACGCAGGAGGCTGCTGCTGAACTGTCAGTACTAGGACCAGCTACCTTGGGGAGGTGGGTTGTGCTGAACTCATCCTGAAGCCTGCATCCCTCACTTTTCACTAGCAACTTCTCTTGAAAAAGGGTGCTGTTCCTGGGAAAGTGGCTGGGGGAAACTTGGGTCCTGTACATGTTGGATCTTTAGTGGACCCTAATATAATAGTTTGGCAGACTGGAGAAGGGTTTGAGAGTGCCCAGGCTCAATGCATGCTGAGAACATTGCACCTCTGTGGGAAGTAACATGGTGAGAAAAATGGGCCTCAGCTGCTTGCAGACTTGGGTTAAGGACTTATAACAGAAAGAGGTGAGAAAGTAGCCAGCTCAGGTGGGAAATCAAAGCACACCAGACAATAGGAAAGGTAGGCATAGAAACTACCGTGAACCAGATATTGGAGACTTACCATCTCTACAAGGCAGGGATGATAGTGGGTCTGGTCGGGGTTACTGTTCCTGAATGCTTTTTTTTTCCTTTCTTTCTGGGTGGTCAAGAATCTAATCAGGGAACTTAAGCTTGGAGAATAGTAGAGCAGGTCTGTAACCCAGGAAGCTTATATACAAGGAACTGTTGCGTCATTAAATCCACAAAGGTGGTATCCATATGCCAACAGCCCAGGGACTTTTCTTTTGGCATATGGATGCCAACTTTTGGGGATTTAATTTTGAAAAGACTGCAAGTTCTGTCTTTTCAAACCCTGGCAGGCACAATTCTGCTCACTTCCCAGTACAGTGTCATGGAGGTGTCATGACTTGAAAATACTTCATCTGATGACAGCTGGTTGGGTTGGACAGGTCAGCCCACGCACCCAGTGCTGTTGCTTAGTGAGTTTCCTCAGTGCATGACCTGTCCGGCTTGTAGTGTGAACTGTCTCTCTCTGTGTTTCAGGTTTGCGAGGTCTGATGTTGTCAGTCATGCTGGCCTCTCTCATGAGCTCCTTGACTTCCATTTTTAACAGCGCTAGCACTCTGTTCACCATGGATATCTACACCAAAATACGAAAGCAGGCATCTGAGAAGGAGCTCATGTTAGCTGGAAGGTAAATGTCACAGGGCTTCTCTCCAGCATTAGAAATGTAACGGATGCTAGAGGCAGCGTTGGGTTTTTTGTAGTCCTGATAGCCCAGGACAAACGAGTGCCTTGACGAGCCACCCTTCTGCTGTATCCATGTGGTGCAGCAGTGACCTCTTGTGGCCAGAAAGGTTAATCACATGTTTTCTGGGAATTCCCTGGAGCCTGTTTCAGACCCCCTTCCTATTTAAAGGTGATGCACATGGGGTAGTTAAATCCAATGTACTTATTCCCTACAGATCCTAGTTACAAAAAGCTACAGCATCAATATATTATCTGTGCTGGTGATTTTGCTGTTGATCTGTGTCTGTGGTTTCATGGCTTGCTGTGTTCACAAGCAGCTTATTATTCTTGATTTCTGATTGTTTTGATTGTGGTTTTCTCTCAATGGGTGGACTGGCAATTGATGAAACTAGCAGAGCTTCCTCAGGGCTGTTGGGTTTCCTGGTATTTTAAAACTGGTGGGAATATAAAATGAATTGTTAAATTGTTGATTGATTCATTTTTGATTTCTGTATTTGTGACATTTATAAACAGGGGTTTAACTTTGTTATGTCGGGCTGTATTTACAGGATATTCATCTTAGTTTTAATTGGAGTCAGCATTGCTTGGGTTCCTGTGGTGCAGTCAGCTCAAAGTGGACAGCTCTTTGATTATATCCAGTCTATCACCAGCTACCTGGGGCCACCCATTGCTGCTGTCTTCCTGCTTGCTGTCTTTTGCAAGAGGGTCAATGAGGAGGTGAGTACAATTAAAAGAGTGGTTTGGGTAAAAGTTCACAAAGGACAATCCTTCAGGTCCTGAGACAACCCACCTTTGCTTCAAAATGACGTTTCAATCAGGCTGTTGTCTTACTCTTGCTTCAGCCTGGAGTCTAATATTTCCATAGCCCATGGTCTGATGTTCCAGATCTGAGCATTTTAGAAGGGCCCCTTTATTAAGCAGAAGAATCCTCCTTCATCCCATACAGTACGGACAGACAAATCAGTATGACCTTAACTATAGTTCACTGACTCCTAAACAGTTGTGAAGCTGGGGCCACTTACTGCTTCACTGCGCCTTGCGCTGAAGTGGGTGGGTTCTAGGGATTTAAGAGTTGAAAGCAAGTCCTTACCACGTTCAGCAAACAGGCAGTCTGTCCGTCCGTCCCGTGGTCCAGATTCTGGGTGGGAACTTGGGAGATCTGAGTTCTATATAGAGATTCCTGGCTTATAGGATCTTGCTTTTCCATTTCACATCATATCAGCTGCCAAATTTGGGTCAAAGTAATTCTTCCTCAAGGTCAGATCGGTATGGACAGCTGGTGGATTTTGTCCTTTTCTGTGGCAGGGCAGTGGTAATGTCATAATTTCCCTGGCTTTTGACTGTGGCAGGTTGTGGACCTCTCTTGCTGTTTTGGCTACTGATCATGGTAGTTGTGGTTAAGGGTGTAAAGTGGTGATTTGGGGGATTCCTTTAGTTAATGGTCACTTGCAAACCCACCGGACTGAACTCAGTGGTTCAGGAGCCCTTTCCAGTCCTGTTCCTACTCCCATCTCTATCCAATGAGAACTTGGGCACGTCACTGATGGTTTAAATATCAGAAGAACTGAACACTCAAAGGCTTTAAGAAGCCAGTGGGAGCTGTGGTGCTTGGCGTCTCTTAAAATCAGCCTGACAACTGCTCTGAAGTTCAGCTTTCCCACCTGTAATATTAGGGATAATTATAATTTCCTGCCTCCCAGAGCAGATTTATCCCAAGAGGATAAATTCACTGATGTCTGGAAAATGCACAGATGCTACAATGAGTAAAGCTGAGAGAGGAAAAAGACCAACACTAAATTTCCAGGGGTGGGGGTTGGAGTTTTCTAGGTTTTGACTCCTTTCTACCGCTCATGATTTTTTGGAGATTGGTTCAGTTTGCTACCAATGCATGTCTTAATAATAGTATGCATTTTCTAAACAGGAATCTTCCATTTTGGGTTGTAGCATGGCTGACTCTCAGACACCCTGTGTTCATTAATCCAGAGAGCCTTCCAGTGACTTCAACTGGTATTGAGCCTGACTAAGGGCTGATCAAAAACTGAACAAGTTCCTCAGGGATTCATCCATGGTACACTCTGAATAACTACTGGGGAAAAATGGATGTGATGTTCTAAGTTTTGGCTAAATGCAGACTAGGAAAAGATTACCATATTCTGATTATGAGCATACCTTTTATTTTTGTAACGACAAAATCATGGACTGGAACAGCACCCCAGGGCTGCCAACACTGCTCGCTTGCTTGCTGGGGCTGAACCTGGGGTGGGAGCACTTGGAGGCTGAGCTGGCAGACCACATGGCCAGCTAAGCTGGAGAGGAAAGGCCCCACTGGGGAAGCTGCTCTGGGCAAGCAGCAGCCAAAGGGAACACGCAAGGGCCCCCTCTGGCAGGGAGTGAGACTGGGTGAAGCAGTGCAGTTTTTTTGCTCTTGTTTCTGTTTTTTGCCTTGATTGAACAATGTTTTTTTAATGTAGGGAGGGAACAACGAGTAGGTTTTGGCAGCCTTGGCCCCTCTCTACTAAATGATGGGGCTTGGCTTGGAAGGGAAAGGGAATTGTCGTAAGTGATATTTAAATAGATGTGCACAATATTTGTGCGCATTCATGTTTCGTGATTATGATTGCCATCCATGCAAACTTTTTTATTTACTTATTTGTTTAGAAACTTAGATATCTAATTAAACTCATTGCACATTTCCCCTCCTACCTGCAGGAATCATTTTGTGCTCCACTATACAAATGCCATTCCTTGACGTCATTTGATCAGTGAGACCTGTGAAAATACTGAAAC